CGGATCTGGATCATCTCTGTAACAAATCACTTACTTGAGCGAGCAGGCTAACGCAATATAAAAACGAAAATCCACGTAAATATTGAATAAACATGTTTTCTAAGAGGGGGTCTCGACCGACGACAAATCCAGTAAAATTGCTTTGGTTTGACAAGTCCAAGTTCGTTTACGAATATTCAGTTCGCCCACTGCCCTGGAGGGCTGTCAGTGTGTGAAAGGGAGAAGAGTTGAACATGAAGCTTATTTGCATTGTGGCATCTCTTGGGACACATTTTATTGAATTAAGGCAGTCACCCTGAAGGACAAAAAGTTGATCAATATTTGTTTGCGCCGCCGTCAATATTCTGTCAAAAATATTGTCTTTTTTGGATACAATCTATAAGTGCTTATAAAGTAGAATTTTTTATTATTATTATTATTATTTTTAACTCTCTACACAAGAAACACAGGACACCCAAGGTTAATTTTAGGAAGCTTTCATTTGAAAACGGTGGTCACATCGGCCAACTGCTTTATTCACGGACCGCTCAAACACTATAAGGGACCTGAGCCGATAAAACAACAAAAACACTTCCCTGTAGAACGACAGAGGTCCCGATAGCATAGCGACGCAGAGAAATACTTGGCTCAGTCCTCAGTAACTTTGTGTAAGAATATCCTTTCTCGATATTTCTTCGTTGTCAGGAGCCGATTACTAATCGAGTAATCGGCTCCTGTCGTTGTTTTATCCAAAACAAAAAATGCTCTGGCCAGCCACAAGTGGTAAATGTCATGTAGTCAAACCTGTATGATCGGCTTGGTTATCTTTTTTTGCCTCTGCAGCTAGTTTTTACCCTCCATTGGTTTCAAGAGCTACAAGAAGTGTGTTTGCCTCTTGTAGGGTTCTCATAAATCCTCCCTCCCGGGATGTAAGCCATGTAGGTATGTTCCTGGGAGTAGTCCCCGGGCGTCTCTCACTGCGTTTTCCATATTACTGTTGGACCTGTTGCAATACGTGACTTGACAAGAACTTGAAAATAAACAGGATGCTGTTTAGCACCGTGACATTTCCCTCAGATCTCAATACCTCATTGAACGTCTCCTGTATTTCCCCGCTACCCCTTTATAATAGACGCCGCCGGAGGCAAAGCGGATGCCGGAATCTGGTCAGATCTGGGATCAGACTGAAGTTATAATTAACCATGAAACAAGCGCTCCCAACCCCCCCCCCCCCCCCCCCCCCCCCCTTTTTTTTGGGGGAAATTTTTTTTTTTTTTTTTTAAAATTTTTCCAAAAGTTTTTTTTTCCAGCATTTTTTATTTTTCCCCACCAAAACCCCTTAAAGGCCTTTTTTCTTTTTAAATCTTTTTCACCACCACACCTCTGCTCCCACTTGAAATTTTTTCCGT